CACCTTCTTGCTGGCTTTGGGCTGGTTTTGCTTTTCCCTTTGCAGGAGAGACCCTTCTGAGCTGCTTCGTCTCATTTTCCTTGGATTTCCTTCAGCTCTTCCCGAATCTCCCTGTGAGCCCCTGTGCCCCTGGGGCAGGGCAGGTGGGAACAGACCCCACAGCCACGTGCCAGCAAAATCATCCCCAAAATCAGAAATTCTTGGCCGACGCTGCTCCTTCGTTTCTGTCAGATGGGAGATTCTGCAAGCAGCTGTTGGTGAGCTGTGAAGAAAACATGGAAAAGGCCTTAAAAAATGAGGGGAAACCAGTAAAAATCTGAATTTACACACAGCAGACAACCTGAACATGGAATAAGGGAGCAGGGAGATGGGAAGGTGAGGATTTCACAATAAATGACTTTGCCTGCATCCAAGGATATGGAAAATAAATAGAAAAAAACCCACAAATGGGGAAATTTCAGCCTGATTCAAAGGTGATTAAAGCAAATGAAAGGCTTTGGATCAGGCATGCTGAGTACTGATAGAATTGTTTGTTTATGTGAAATAAAACCTTCATTTAAAAAAAATCAAGACAGGTGAAATTCTACATAATTGAGGATTTTCCTGCTCTCCCCTTTAGGGACAGAACTGACCCTGGATATCCACCCTGCAAAGCCAATTTTGCTACAAACTCTTAATTTATGCACAATGCCATTCCCTATCTATATTTTAAACTTTCCCACCCAGCCTCCTAGAAGGAAACTTTCAGTTGTGGAAATTTCCATACCTGGAGGACAGAACTGTCCTTTTCCAATGCCACATTTAAAAATCAAAATCTACAATGAATCTTCAATGAGTAGAAAAATATAATGTCAGATTTGTAGCAAAATAACTTTATACTTTTGACTTAAAAGCATTTTCTTGCCCATCTGTTTATTTCCTGGACATCACAGGGTTATGACAGTATTATTTTATCACTTAAATCCTCACCACAAACTGATCTGATACCTGTTATCCTCATGAATATGATTTTTAAAATCTGGAAGCAGCGCTTGATCCTTCACCCTTTCTTGAAAAATTGCATCAAAATCAGATGAAATATTCTCCAGTTCTGGGTGTGCCTGGCCACTGCTGCTGTTATTCCTGGAGAAATGCTGCCCAGGGATGGCATTGGCTGGGAATTGATGTGGAATTCCAGCTGGAGAGTCATGCTGGTATTTCTTGTCCTCCTTACTGGGATATTCAGGATTTAAAACCTCTGGTGGGTAAAAATTCTGGAATATTGGGAGAAAATGATAGGAAGGCATGGTAAGGGTTGAATTTGGGAGGTGATTTAAGCCACTTTGGGGTTTTTCTGCTGGGCCAAGAGAAGAACTTGGACTCAGGGCTGAGCTGGGATCCTCCGCAGGGGGAGCAGCCTGGAATCCCGGGATTTGCTGGTGCCTCTGGATGCAGGGCTCTGCTTCTGCTGCTCCTGGGGGTTCTTGGCCATCACCCCTGGGGAAAGCTCTTCCCCTGAGAGGCTGCTTGGATCCTGCTTTACTTCTCGGCAGGAACCTGTGCTGCTCCTGAAACGAGTCACCAGCAGCTGGGTGAATTTCCCAGTGGGAAGTTGAGATATTCACGTAGAAGTTCCATCACTCACATCAAAATCCCTCTGTGCTGCTTGGATCTCACCCTGCTCATGGCTGGATTTCACCCAAAATTCAAATATTAAAGGAACCCTCAGTCCAGAACAGGAGCAGAGATGTTATTCAGGTGCTGCACAATGAATTATTCTGCCTGAGATAAATTCTGCAGCACTGGACTATAAAATCAGGTCCTTGCAGATGCAAACCTGGTGTGGTAAATGTGGATTTTATCTGCAGGAGGTGCAAAAATGGTGCCCTAAAGTGCACAGATCTGACCCTGTGGATAAGTGACACCTCTCTGTCAAACACATTGAAAAAAAGCTCCAAAAATCAAATCAGTTCTTGCTTTTTATGTGTTAGATTTTGGGGGAAAATGGCTTTGTACACACTGTTAGACTGGCCCGTGGTAGAACAGCCTGATGCCAATTATATAAATGACCTGATATAAATTATAAAAATAATTATAAATTGTAAAATGTATAAACAATCTTATATAAATGATAAAAATAATTATAAATTATAATATATAAAAATAATCTTATATAAATGATAAAAATAATTATAAATTATAATTTATATAAAGAATATTATATAAATAATAAAATAATTATAAATTATAATATATATAAATAATCTTATATAAATAATAAAAACAATTATAAATTACATAAGCACTCATATTATAGAAATTATAAAATTATTATAAATGATAAAATAATGTATTATAAAAACTATAAAATAACAATAAAGTATAAATTATTAAAATCGTACATAGATTATAAAATAATTATAAACTATAAATTATAAAAATAATAATAAGCTATAAATTATAAAAATAATCTTATTTCTAACCCAAGCACTCCTCCCTGCAAAACTCAAGAATTCAAGCACACCAGGGCTCCCATTTAGAGCCAGACTGCCACACTCTAAATCTGAAATTCATTTCCATCTCTCACTTTCCAATTACAGCATCAGGTGTTGCCCACTTGGAGGAAAAACCCGAATTTCCTTCCAGGGAATCCACAGATCCATTGTCAACCCATTAAACCCTGCAAGGGCTGAAATCCTCCTGTCTCTCCAGGGCTCTTCTGTGAGCAGCCCCTGCAGCAAATTCACTCAAAAATCAGATTAATGGAGGTGGGAAATGCACCCAGGCCCAGGAGGTTTGGGAAATTCTGACTCCCGGAGTTCCATGTCCTGGCACAAAGTGGGATTGTCTGGTTTGGACTGCTCCCAGTTTGGCTGCTGCCAAAATTCTTGTGTGTTTAGGGGATGATTAGGTCGATAATCGGAAATTATAAATTAGTACACGGTTGTGTTTGATGGTTTGGGAGGATTGTGAACTTATCTAGGAGATTATTTGGTTGATAATCTAAAATTATAAATTAGTACATGGTTGTGTTTGATGGTTTGGGAGGATTGTGAAAATACATTTAGGAGATTATTTGGTTGATAATCTAAAATGATAAATTAGTACAAGGCTCTGTTTGATGGTTTGGGAGGATTGTGAGAACTTTTTTAGGAGGTTTGGTTGATAATCGAAAATTAAGGATTAGTACATGGTTGTGTTTGATGGGTTGGGAGGATTGTGAGCCAGAATTTATTTAGGATAGTATCTGGTCAATAATCTAAAATTATGAATTAGTATATGGATGTGTTTGATGGTTTGGGAGGATTGTGAGAGAGAACTTATTTAGGAGATAATTTGGTTGATAATCTTAAATCATAAATTAGTACCGAGTTCTGTTTGATGGTTTGGGAGGATTGTGAGAGAGAACTTATTTAGGAGATAATTTGGTTGATAATCTTAAATCATAAATTAGTACCGAGTTCTGTTTGATGGTTTGGGAGGATTGTGAGAATTTATTTAGGACATAATTTGCTTGATAATCTAAAATTAAAAATTAGTACAAGGTTCTGTTCAATAGTTTGGGAGCATTCTGACATAGAACTTATTTAGAACATGATTTGGTTGATATCTTAAACTTATAAATCAGTCCAGGGTTGTGTTTGATGGTTTGGGAGGATTCTGCAAATTTATTTAGGAGATTATTCGGTTCATTTTCTAGTTTTTGGCAATTAATTCACTCCCCCTTAATTTTAGGGGACAAATCAGGCAGAAATGGTGAAGTTCTGGCTCAGAATTTCCCAAACCATCAAACACAACCATGTACTAGTTTGTAATTTTAGATTATCAAATAATCTCCTAAATAGACAATAATAGATTCTGTGAGCTCAGAATTTCCTGGCATTTTGCTTTAAATTTATTTAGTACATAAAGCACACATACATTAAATTACAGCGCTTACCTATTGATAGATATTTAAGGATTTCTTGTCAGTAATAATTCCTTTAAAAGCCACAAGATGACAGCTTTAAACATCCAAATTCAGTGCTTTTATAGATATATTTCCACTGAAAAATTCTGAATGTATAAATTCTAAATATATAAATTCTAGATTTATAAAATTTCAAATTCTAAAATGATAAATTCACTTATTAAATTCTCTGAAAAAGGAACCTTGAGCTGCTGTCCTTTTGGGTACCATTTGTCTTCAGGCTTCATTTTCCCAGTCTGGAATGCTGGGACATTCTGGAGTGGTTCTTCATCAACTGGTGGAGGATCTGTGACCTAAAAACCAGGAATGTTCATGGTCACAGCAATCAGGATCTTAAAATCTTGGGGAAATAAGGAGAAATAATTCGTGGCCTATTAAAATTAAAATGCTGAATTTTGAAACGGTGGAATGACGAAATTTTGAAATGGTGAATTGCTGGAAGGATGGCAAGGAGAGAAATGGTTAAAGGAGAAAAAGAAGCAAAAAAACCCAATTAAAGGGAGGGATGATTCCTTCTACTTTTAAGAGGAATAAAAGAAAGGAAAATTGTGCAGCACAGAAAGTCTCAAATGTCTGAGCTCCTCCATTTCCATGGAGGAAATGCACCTAATAACAGAAAACCAGCCAGAAACCATCCCTGGCCAGGCAATCACACATCCCAGCCTCAGCGAGAGAGGCTCGCAGGAAAAGCTGGAAAAACACAATAATGGGGCTGAAAAGCACAGGGGGAGCTGCAGGAATAAAGTCTGGACTACACAGAGCCTGGCAAAACAAGCTCACAAAAAAGGATAGCTCCACAGAACCACGGCTGCAAATTTATTTGGAGCAAGTTTTTTGAGTTTGTGCAGTTATCTCTGCACAAAGATGAGCGATGCCCTTGTAAATATAGCAATAATTAATCTTTTTCTTGAAACGAACATGTTTTTGATCTATAAAACTGCAGGAAAACCAATTTTTAACTTTTTTTTAATTTCTATTTTTTGTCCCAAACTATCCTGCTGAGTATTTTAGTGGAAGTGCGTTGGGCAGTGTCACTTGACAGGAATCTCTGCTCCACCCCAGAGTGGTCCCACAGGAGAAGTGGCACTGGGAAGATATTTATGACCTAGAGAATTATTAACTGGAAATCATCGGTGGGAAGAAAATGTGGGAAGCTGAACCTCTCACTTTGGGGGTAAGAGATTAGGGCAGAAAGAAAAGGTGGGCAGGGTTTATTGCTGAACTTATGGGTGATCTCATGGCTCCAAATTCAGAGTAAATCCCTGGGAAAAATTCGCAAGAAAATTAAAAAATACCACGGAGGTTTTCCTGAGCTGTGGACACAGCTTTGCAGTGAATAAGATGTTTTTGGTGGAACCAACTGACTCAGTGCATTGATGGAGCGCTGGGCAGGTAAAACATACTTCTACATTATCTCTTTGAAAGAGGAACAGGACACAACCTCTGCCAGCTTTTTTTTTTTCCTTTTTCTTTTTTTTTTTTTTTTTTTTTTTTTTTGTGAACCATTCTATTAATACCAATCAAATTGAGAAAATGATCAAATGAAATTGCATTTTGAGAATCATAAGCTGTGTAATGCCTATTCTGTTAAATTGAGGCCCATAATTGCTTCTCCACTGAAAAGATACAACAAAGGCAGCAATCATGGCATGTCATTATCCCAGACTGGCAAACCAGCCTTTGCAGGGAGGACTTCAAAGCCTTGTGGTTCTCGAATTGCATTTGGCTGCTATTGTTGAAGCACAGGCAATCTTGATTAGGTGTTTACACCGAGGGAAGGCTCAGTGCACAGAGAGTCTGAGTGCCTTGCTCTAGAGCCATTAAAAAATTGTACATTATGTTCCTGGCTTTGAAGTAAGGGGCTTGGAGGTAGGAAAGCAACTCGGATTGAGCACAGCTGAGCTAGATTGGGCCACTGCTTCTCCTTCTGCCTCGCTCTCTCTCTCTCAAAGAAACTCATCATGGGGTTCTTTAGGAATCAGGCAACGCTGCAAAGAACTTGATGCTGTATAAAATGCTATATGAATTGGTAAATGCACAGACCAGCACGGGTTTATGGTGTGTTTTGGTAAAGCTGTCATCTGTAAATGTAAATCCTGCAGAACGAGGCTGGAAGTATTTCAACTCAGCTGTGCACAAAGTCCTGCCCTCAAAGCAAACACCATTTCACTACCACAACCCCAGCAGTGAGCAGATCAACAAATTCAGCTTCAACCCCCGGCAAAGCTCAGAATAATCAGTTTAGGGAAGCACAGCTTGATTGGTGACACGTGGCTCATTTGTTTCTTCACATACTTGGTGGTTTTGCACTTTTGGACAGAGTTTTCCGGGTGGGGTGACCAAAGCTGGCTCCTGCACCACCACGATGCTCCCCTCAGGACCTTTTTCACCCCTTCCAACAAGACTGAGCCATCTGGTTAGGAATCAGTAAATGAACTGTCAATTAACAGTAAATTAATCAGTAACTTCTGCCTGTCCTGCAGCAGATCCAGGGGTGGCCGCCAGCAGTGGTGATGCCACTCATGGAATGACAGAATTATGGAATGCCTGGATGGAAGGGACCTTAAAGCCCACCTTGTCCCACCCCTGCCATGGCAGGGACACCTTCCACCAGCCCAGGTTGTTCCAAGCCCTGTCCTGGAACACTTCCAGGGATGGAAAGTCCACAACTTCCCTGTAACTTGTCGAGGTCAGGAACACACTTTCCTGGAACCCCTATGCCTGCTGTGTCACCTCTCTGCTGTCCCCAAGGCCACTTCAGCCACATGATCTTATCTCATAACCCTGATTTTGACTGATTCCTTTGCCTATTCCATATTTTTAAACAATGTCTGCACAATGAAGTCCTGACCCCTGCTCCAGCACTTAGACAGGAAAGATTTCCAGAATTCCCTGAATAGCAAACATAATCATATCAACATAGCTCTAATTAGCATCCATCCACACTCATTATTTTTACCATCATCCAAATTAGAACTGAAAAAAACAAGTGCTCTTAATAGCTCTACTAGAAAAAAAAAATCCTGTCCATCATTCCTGCCACTGGAATGAAGTCAGAAAATTCCCTCTAATGTTGTGTCAACTCTTCATTAGCCTTGGCAGAGGTGTCACTTGAAGCACAACGTCCCTGGAGCTCTCCAAGGTAAGAATTTTCTGCGTGGAGTGATTCAGTGACACCCCCCCTTCCCATTATGCATAATAAGTAGCAAGGAAAAGCAATGAACTCCTTTCTAATGGTTCATTAGGAACTGTAATTACATTTCCTCTCGAACCTTGCCACAAGTTAGCTGAGACCGTGCACCAGTCAGAACTTCCAGACACAAGTGCTGATGTCCAGCACCAAATCTGGGGTCCTGACAGGCTTTGCATAATAAGTAGCAAGGAAAAGCAATGAACTCCTTTCTAATGGTTCATTAGGAACTGTAATTACATTTCCTCTCGAACCTTGCCACAAGTTAGCTGAGACCGTGCATCAGTCAGAACTTCCAGGCTTGGGCCATCAGCCCATGGAAACCTCGTGGAGCTGAGGCCAAGCACAGTCCAGGGGAACCCCCGGAGCTGCTGCAGGGCTGGAGCCCCTCTGGAGCCAGGCTGGGAGAGCTGGGGGCTCACCTGGGGAGGAGAAGGCTCCAGGGAGAGCTCAGAGCCCCTCAGGGCCTATGGAAGGCTCTCACTCAGGGTGCCCAGAGCAGCTGTGGCTGCCCCTGGATCCCTGGCAGTGCCCAAGGCCAGGCTGGACATTGGGGCTGGAGCAGCCTGGGACAGTGGGAGGTGTCCCTAAACATGGCAGGGGTGGCACTGGGCGGGCTTTGAGGTTCTTTCTAACCAACTTTTCATTTGCTCCACTGAGAAAAATCTGGAATAAGGCATAGCAGAGAGAATCACTACAAACTCATGTTGATAATGCTAACATTAACATGGTAACATTATCAAACTCATGCTGGCCAAGCAGAAAAAATGAGAGGCAGCATAAAAAGAGCCACTGAAAAGGGGCAGTGCAGGTGCCAGGAAAGAAGACAGAATTTCCTTAGCATCAAGATAAAAAGCGGTGTGAGATCTGTGACACTTCCCTGGCCAGGAACAGGCAGCTGGAACGTGGCCACCCCTGGGCTTGGGAGCAGCTGGAGATTTGTCCATTATCCCACAAAGGGTGAACAAGATTCCCCCTGGAAATCCAAAGCCGTCACTCACTTGCACGATGGATTTCAAATCTGCTTCTCCCCTCTGCAAAGCTGAGAGTTCAACACCAGGCAGACCTAATCTGTAGAAACGAGGGAATTTATAAATGTACCCACCTGCCCTTGAAGAACTTGCTGCTTTTTATTGTGCAGCTCAAGATAGGAATTAATCCTCTCTGACTGTAACCCCAAAGTCCGTTTATTTTTTCTCACAAAGTTTTTTTTTGCTCTTTGGGGTGGATCCTGTTGATTTTGAGGAGGAAAAGCATGGCCAGGATTATCTTTGGAATGAAATCCATCTGCAGGTTCCTCCCTTTTGGCTTGTGGTCCAACAGGTTTGTTGCTGGCCACATTTGCTCCATAAAAGCTGAGTAATTCTGGACCAAACTTTGGGAGTGCATCCTGGGTCTTTGCCTCCTGTTCATGATTTTCTGAGGAGCCATCAGAATGAAGATAAAATGAATCCAGTGAAAAGTCCCCACTGCTTCCTCCAAAAATTTGGGATGCCTTCTCTGCCTCAAAAAAATCTGCTCCTTTTTTTGCATTCTTCCAATGAGGATTATACCTCAGGCTGGAATATTTGTCCACAGGCAGTTTTTTCCTAATTAAAAAAAAACAAACACCAAATTATTTCTGCATCAATTGTACAAATTCCGTATTATTTCAGTGTACAAACAGATGTCCTGCTGTGGCCAAATGAATTATTTCATTCAGTATGGGACCAGGATCAGAAGAGTTTTATCAAAGATTTTTTTGGTAGGAAATTTAGGCAGGACTTCCTTTTTAATTTTTATCATCAGTGAATGATAAATTGGTCTAACACTCAGAGCACAGTGGAATACAATCATTATCCTAAATTTGGCATAGAAATTTTTAAATCCTAGTAGAAACAGCTAAAAGGTGAAATAGTAGAATCAGCTAAAAGGTGAAATGATAAATTGCATTGCTCTGTTGTCTCCTTAAAAGTGATATAGTCTGCAAAAGACAGTTTGTGTTGTTCCTTCTTCAAAGGCTCTGTTGAGTGAAATAAAAGTGAAATTCCTGGTAAAATCAGTTTTCAAGTGTCCTTTTGAAACTGTCCAAACAAGAACAGCCTCCAGCTCTGTGTTCTTATTTTCTCTTTTCATTCCTGTGAAACATCGTGATGCTTTGAGTAAAAAACTCCTTCTAGAAAAGATTAAAAGTCAGTTTTTATTAAAAAACAGGTGGTGATTAGATAAGAGTAGAAAAACATAAATGAAAAATCTGTGATTGATAATTTTTTAACAAGTGGCCGAATCATTGCTCTGAGTTACATTTGTCATAAAGCAAAGCCAGATGCTCTGCCTTAAAAAAAATCCCCAATTGATCCAATTTCTGATCCAATGGGAGGAAAAGCAACTGCAGGAGTCAAATCCATCCAAGCAGGCTTCCAGGAGATGAGCAGGCAGAGGCAGGAGGAAGGGATGGGAGAGGAAAAAGCTTTAACACAACTTTTTCCTCCCTGGACCTGCAGCACAGCCCTGGTTTGTGGGTGACTCTGCCAGAGGACGTTTACAGGCACTGAAATCTGGTTAATTCTTCAGCTCCTGTTAAAGAAATCTGCTGGATTCCCCAACCTGTGGCCTTGTTAATGATATTAAAAAAAAAAAAAATCATTTATCCATCCTTTCTCAATGAGCTACACGCCTCTGCCTATATTTCAAGTGGCTCCTAATAACAAAATAATGTGTTTGTCTTTGCTTTCCAGGTGAGCAGGGGTGCCACGGTCTCCTGGAGCTGATTTCCACCAGGGAAAACATCATTATTCCCAGCTGGCAGGGGCTGCAGGTAAACAGCACGAGGTGAGGCTGCTCTGAAGTGAGTACAGAAATATGTGAGCTAATTGCAATGATTGAAATGGCAGAGGATAATGCTAAAGAGTCCCTTTGTGCTGAAATGTGTGCACAGAACCCAATTGTGGGACTCGGCCCAGGTCACTGCACGGGGACAAAATGAGTGTGAAGAGCTCCTTCATCCCTAATCATCCCCAGACAAAAAAGGGCACCTTTTATTCCTGCCCCCAGCTCCGTGGGGAGGTTGGATGGACTCGGTGCTCCTCAACAAAAGTGTGGTGAGCAGACAACAGCTGCAGCATTTCCTCTTCAAATTCCGAGGTTGGTAATGGATGTAGAGAGGGGGTTTCATATGTATGTGCTGTGATATTTGCTCTGCTTAATGGACTGCACTGGAGTACTTACTGGGCTGAGTTCAAACAAAATAAAATCAAATTTCCATTTAATGAAGAGCCTCACATTCAGCACAGTATTCAGTCCAAAAAAATTACTAAAAATTAGAGCATGTTTCTAGTACAATTAACATCATTTGCACTCACAATAAAATATTCAATAACTGGCCATTTTGCTTGTTGAGGAGGTGAATAAAAGCATGCTATTAATCATTTAGCCTTCATTTGTTTGTCATTTTATTTTAAGTAGACTATTAAATTGAAACTGCACGTTGTTATTACTTGGGGTTTAATGTAATCCCTTTAAACTCGAGAATTATTCCCAATTTATCCAGGGTTAAACCTTCCATGCATATGCCAGGATATTCAATTTTATTTTATGTACCCAGTTAATGCTTTCTGAAGGATGTTGAGGAACATCAGGTTAAAAGTGTCAGAATTATTCCGCTCCACTAAAGTTTTTGCCTTACCTTCCAGCGCCATAAATCTGTGGTTTTCTTTTCTTTTTTGTGTCGTACTCAGCTCCTTTCTCTTCAGAACTCAAATCCTCCAAGCTGTCCTCATCCAAGCTGTCATCCTCCAGGCTGTCACCAGCCTCCTGCCCCAGCAGCTCCCGATTTTGCAGGATGCTGTGCTGGAGTGCCAGCTGCTGCTGCCTCTCCTTTTCCAGGCTCTCCGAGTCAGAATCCTGGGAACCCTCCAGGCTGGAGGCAGAGCTCCTTTCCAATTCCCAGCTGGCAGGTTGGAAAACGGGTGGCACGAGGATTTTTGGAGGCACGTGGATGTTGTTTGTGGCGTAAGTGTGTGGGGAAGAGACTGAAATGTATTTCATGTTTGAAGGATTCATCCCCTGTTTTGCACTGATGGGTCACACCAGCCCTGCATTTGGAGAACACATAAAACATTTTAATGATATTGAACAGCTGCATTTTGTTTGGAGAACACAGAAAACATTTTAATAATATTGAAAAGCTGCTACTATTGGCTTAGGCTCAGAATTTGACCTTCTCTTGTTCAAAGAATTCTCTATTCTCATGTGATTTTCCTTTATTCCCACTCATTCTCCTTTCAGCAATAATGTCAAGATCTTTACATATCAAATACAGGATTTACTGCTATGAAATCTCCACTATTGGTGGTAATAAATAATGCAAAACCAGTTTGCGACAAAGAAAATTAAGCTGAGACAAAGCATTTGTTATCTGTTAACTTTGAGGGACAAAATAAATTTTGTTTGTTCTCTTCATGCAACTTGAGACCCTCTGGCCATGTAAAATCAGCAGAAGGTGTGGCAGGGAGCACAGGAGAGCTGGAGCTCTGCCTAAATTAGGATGAGAGTTTCTTTACACTCAGCTGAAGTGATCAGAAGTCGTTTGCACTGCCAGATATTCCCAAGGCGGGGTGGGAGGAGGAAAAGGAGCGTTCATCTGAGATGTTCTGGGATGTTCTGGGATGTTCAGTGCTGGGATGTTCAGAGATGTTCTGAGATGTTCTGAGATGTTCAGGGCTGGGATGTTTTGGGATGTTCAGTGCTCAGATGTGCTCCAGTGCCAGCACACCCAGCACCAGCACGGTCAGAGTGCACAGGCAGTGTCACCTCAGCACCTGGGGATAAAGAATTTTTGGATGTTTTAGCCCTGCAGACACCTGGACTGTCCCCTGTGTCCCCTGCTCCCATCAGTGACCACGGCACCCTTGGGATGGGCAGGGAATGGGGAATCTCCTGGTCTGGAGCAGGAGCTCAGTCCCAGAGGAAAGCCACTGTGTCCCCAAGGCCTCCCCTGTCCCCAGCTCCCTGTCCCTGCCTCCTCTCAGCCCCAGTCCCCTCTCCTGTGTCCTTTTTTCCATGTCCCTCACCCCATTCTATGTCCCCTGCCCCAGTGTCGTCACCCACTCCCAATCCCACGTTCCCTCACCCTGTCCCCTGTCCCCACACCCTGTCCCTGATCTCCTGTCCTAGTCCCCTGTCCCATCTCCTCTCTCATGGCCCCTGTCCCCTTTCCCTCACCCCCTGTCCCCGTCCCTGTCCCCTGTCTCTGCTCTCTCTCCCGTGTCCTCGTCCCAGTCCCTTTCATCCCGCTCTCCTGTCCCTGGTCCCCTCTTCCATGTCCCTTACCTGGTCTGCTATCCCTGATCCTGCCTCCCTGTCCCCTCACCACCGTCCCCTCTCCCAGTCTGCCATCCCCTGGTGCCCTGTCCCGTGTCCCTGTCCCGTGTCCTTGTCCTTCGTCCCCTGTCCCGTCCCTGTCCCTGTCACCCTCTCCCATGTCCCTGTCCCTCTCACCCTCCCCCTCTCTGCTCCCATGTCTCTCTCTCCTATTCCATGTCCCTGTCCCGTGCCCCTGTCCCTGTCACCGTCTCCCATGTCCCATGTCCCTGTCCCTCTCACTGCCGTTCCCGTGTCCCTATCCCGTGTCCCTGTCCCATGTCCCTGTCCCTTCTCACCGCTGTTCCCGTGTCCCTGTCCCTTGTCCCTGTCCCCGCCATTCCCTGTCCCGTGTCCCTGTCCCCACCATTCCCTGTCCCGTGTCCCTGTTCCTGTCCTGTGTCCCTGCCCCTCTCACCGCCGTTCCTGTGTTCTTGTCCCGTGTCCCTGTCCCTGTCCCCGCCGTTCTCTGTCCCTGTCCCTCTCACCGCTGTTTCCTGTCCCTGTCCCGTGTCCCTGTCCCTCTCACCGCCGTTCCCGTGTCCCTGTCCCGTATCCCTGTCCCTGTCCCATGTCCCTGCCCCTCTCACCGCCGTTCCCTGTCCCGTGTCCCTGTCCCTGTCCCCGCCGTTCCCGTGTCCCTGTCCCGTGTCCCTGCCCCTGTCCCGTGTCCCTGTCCCTCTCACCGCCGTTCCCTGTCCCTGTCCCGTGTCCCTGTCCCCGCCGTTCCCGGCCCGGGCCCATTCCGGGCCGTGCCGCGCTGTCCCGTTGCCACGGCAACCCCGAGGACGCCGGCCGCACCCACCAGGCGCGGGGGGAGCGCGGTTCCCCCTCCCGCGGGCGCTGTGGTAGCGCCCGGGAGCAGCCGCTTTCCTCTGAAAAATGGAATTATTTCCACTGAAATATGGAATTGTTTCCACTGGAAAATGGAATTGTTTCCACTGAAAAAATTGAATTATTTCCACCGAAAAATTGAATAATTTCCATTGAAATATGGAATTGTTCCCATTCAAATGTGACATTATTTCCATTGGAAAATGGAATTGTTTCCACTGAAAAAATTGAATTATTTCCACCGAAAAATTGAATAATTTCCATTGAAATATGGAATTGTTCCCATTCAAATGTGACATTATTTCCATTGGAAAATGGAATACACAGGGCCTTTTATCTCATTGTGTATTCAAACCCCAGTTTCATAATTTTTTCGCATTTCCAGTGAGAAATAATAGTCTCGAGTGAGTTTTATTTCATGAGATTTACAGTGTCCCGTTCTGGGCTTCTCGGTGCAGGAAAGAACGGGAAGAACTGGAGGGGAAGGACTTCCTTCCCACGGAGGTGGCAGAGCATCCCAGGGAGGTTTTGGTTCTCCCTGCTGGAGCCACCCCAGCCCCACCTGGATGTGTCCCCTGTCCCTGCTCCAGGTGACCCTGCCTGGCCAGGGGGGTTGGGCTGGGGACCCTCCAGAGCTCCCTTCCCACCCCAAATGCTCCGGGACTCTGTGAGAAAAACGCATTTTTCACATTCTGCACATGACAAAACTCGTTGTAATTCACATTTCCTTTATTTTAGGGATTTGCTTTTACCCTCCTGGAGCAGGAAGGGCTCCTGTAAAGCCCTGGAGGAGTCCCAGCTCTCCTGCTGCCCTCATCCCAGCATTTGGGCAGCCCATAGGGAATATCCCCTTCACAGGACCATCAAATCATCAAATAATTTGGGTTGGATTGCTGTTGTTTTTTATTTTTAACCCTTTAGCCATCAGGCCGCTTCCCAGCTTGGTTAAATCCAGCTGCAAACCCAGGTCTGGGGTTCCAGGGAGAAAAGAAAAGTAACAGTTGTTTTGTAGCACCTGTGGTCACAGAGGAGGTGACAAAATCAATCCGAAATATCTTAATTTGGGCCTGGGTGTCCAGCCAGGGGAGACAAAATCAATCCGAAATATCTTAATTTGGGCCTGGGTGTCCTGGAGAGCGCTGATTGCTGCTGGGGGTGCTGAGCTGTTCAAGGCAGAGGTTCCTGATGTGCTCTGAGGGTCCCAGGTGGCTCAGGGCAGGTTTCCAGAAGCACCTGAGGGATTGATCTGCTGGTGGCACAGGTTCCTGAGATGCTCTGAGGGTTCCAGGTGGCTCAGGGCAGGTTTCCAGGAGCACCTGAGGGATTGAGCTGTTGGTGGCACAGGTTCCTGCCATGCTCTGCAGGTCCCAGGTGGCTCAGGACAGGTTTATAGCGATAACATATATAATATAATAATATATATGTAATATATGTTATATATGATATATTATATGTTATATATTATCAATGGCTGCCACCTGCTCTGGCCACAGTCATCAGCAATTAAATAAAACAAGAATTATTTATTAATTATTATAATTAAATAAACAAGATTTATTATAATTAAATATTACAATATTAATTGAATATTATGATTATTATAACACTTATAAGATTATTATTATAATTATTATCATTAAATGAAACAATAATCCATTATTATTTAAAATACAATATTAATTGAATATTATGATTATTATAACACTTATAAGATTATTATTATTATAATTATTATAATTAAATGAAACAATAATCCGTTATTATTTAAAGCAAGAACATATTTACAAGAATATGTTAATTAAAGCTTCTTACCTTGTCCATTCTTCTCATGGCCTGGACTGTCTTCGTTAGATCTGGATTTATAACTCTCCAGGGTCTGCTGTGAAACATCATTTTCTGTGGAAAAAGCCCACAAAAATAATTTAAATAATTAAATAATTAACATTTAACAACATAAAATAAAAATAAAATGAAATAATTAAAACTAGAAATTAATTTAAAATTAAGTAAATAATGATAAAAATTAATTAAAACTCCCCAAAAATTAGTGGTGAGAATGAGATTTTTTCCCCATTATTCCTTCTCACCCTCTGCCTTGATCATAGAAGTCCTGGGAGAAGAGTCACAAACTGGGGATTTTATCAGCTTGACAGAGATCACCATCACCTCACAAAAATCCTGCGAGTTATAAAATGGGGATCTCATCAGCCCGAGTGAGTACAAAAAACCTGAGTGAAGAGTCACAAAATGGGATTTATCACCCGAGTGAGATCACCATCATCTCACAAAAATCTTGAGAGAAGAGTTAGAAAACAGGGATTTTATCAGCCTGAGAGAGATCACCATCACAAAAAACCTGAGTGAAGAGTCACAAAATGGGATTTATCACCCGAGTGAGATCACCATCATCTCACAAAAATCTTGAGAGAAGAGTTAGAAAACAGGGATTTTATCAGCTTGACAGAGATCACCTCACAAAAATCTGGAGAAAAGAGTTAGAAAACAGGGATTTCCCAGCCTGAGAGAGATCACCATCACCTCACAGAAATCCTGGGAGAAGAATTACAAACTGGGGATCTCATCAGCCTGACAGAGATCACCATCACAAAAAACCTGAGTGAAGAGTCACAAAATGGGATTTATCACCCGA